CACTCACACGTCATGACGTCTGTAATTAATTCGCTGAGCGCGCACATTCTGGTCAGTCGAACACACATTATTTTGGGGCGTTATTTTAAAAAAAAGACTCACATCGTTTTTCAAACAGATTTTACAATTCTGCCTTCTTTACCTGGGACTTGAAATGTCTGGTAACGACATATACATACTATAAAATACCCTTATTCTTTGCTCTGAATTTATGTGTGATGGTTTAAAATATGCCCCAGCATTGCACTGTCTGGCTTGGTGTTGATCGGACATTATGTTTCCATAATTTTTCCGCAAAGTCCTCACCGAATTAAAGAAAAAATGTCTTTAACGGACGATCTGCTGGTGAAAGCAGACCTATAGAAAACCACAGCATTTTACCAGTCCATGAAATGAGCTGTTTGTGACTTGTAGAAAGTTAGGTCTATAGAAATACTGAATAAACTAAGTGGGGAAAGGGGGGGGGGGAGATCAGATGACACATAACTGGCAGTAGAAACGGAGTTATTAAACTTGCCCTTGAGCAATGACGCCGCCAACAGGTTTATGTAAACGAACAACATTACAATAAGAGTAGAAGTGAAAGGAATCTTACCCTTGGTGCAGTTTTTGAACGCAATGCTCTCAGAAGCCACACAGGCCAACACAGCTGCCAGTACAACTAGAACATTCATGGTTAGAGGTGGTCAGGTTTTGGCGTGACACTGGAACTGTGGAAGCCTCTCTGTGTGCTGTTTTCTGACTGAACAAGACAGGCACAGGCGCTCTCTAGCGGTGACGTACGTTTAAGACCAGAGAGAGAACTGGATAGGAACTTTCTCCTGTCACAATCTGACAATGTCGCGAAGGGAAAGATAAAGAATTCTGACCAAAGCACGAGGAGTGAGGTGATCTCCAGTACTTGTTGCCGGCTGTTTGTTGGTGTGTGCTGTGGAGAAAGGGCCTCTTATATACGTGTGACCATCTGCGAACACAGCGGGTGATAAGAGAGACGTCGCCTCTTGGGGCAGAGCCAGTTATCTTCAAATTGGAGTGAAATAGTCTTAGAGAGTTGCGACAAGTGCTACTTCAAGTGAAAGAGGAAAGTCAAAATAGAAATGTGTCACCTGGCATTGTTCAAACTCAGCAGATATTCTCAGCCTTATTTTGTGGTTTAAAAAATGTATAACCCGCTTCTGGACAAAACGTTGGTTGTTGTAAAACCAGAGAACTTTGTCTTCTGTCAGAATATCATGCCTGGCTCAAAGAACACAGTCACATTATGGTACGTCAGTACACAGGACTGGACTCATAACTCACGAGAGTTTCACGTGACGGTTACTCACACTCGGATCACTAGGTCTATAGAAGCACATGAGTAGACGAGCAGGAGCTGACTACCACGTGACCACATGAAGAAGTGACCCCACACTGGTTTCACTCAATGAGGACACGTTGTTTGCGGGCATTTTATAAAAGAAGGGAGGGGGGGGGATAAAAGACGAATAGACGTTTGATAGGAAATAAGAAGCAACCACACCAGAGTACCCGCCAACCACCCACTGACCTCTATGTAAGGCAATAAACTAAGACAGGAGAGTGCATAGGGAGGAGGTCAAGACTTTGAGTGTGAGTAAGTTGTCGCAGCGAAGACGCAGGGAAAAAAGGACGTAGAAACCTTTGTGTGTGCCTTGGTAGAGTGAATAAACTACAGTTCTTGAAATCTGGGTTTGTTTTAATGTAAGTAAACCTTAAAGAACCCACACAAGTTAAGGACACCGCACTTATCACTACACCTTTTGATTGCTGGTACACTCCTTTAGCGTTTTACTTCAGTTTTCAAGTTCAAATTTTCTTTGTCAAGACCAGTCTCTGTCGCTCTTCATCGAATGTGAATGTGTTTTTATACTGTCATATATCAACTTTATAAATTAATCATTAGGGGCCGGCTGAGTACTATTTCATGAAGAAAATCCAGAATCTGTTGTTTTCTTCCCATGGCCCGGAGAATTGGGACGCAGAATCCCACTTTACCCCACTGGTGACCCCATTTTCCTGCAGCAAAACGATGAACTTATTCAGGGAAAAATTATTACATCGGATTGGAACATGGTGAAATAAAAGAACTATTCGGTTCTCATGTTGGTATGCAGCCTATAAAACATTAGTCTGTTACGTGGTTCTAGGTTAGTGCTACTACTTTCTCGGGTTTTGTTTGTTTGTTTGTTTTGTTTTTTCAGAAATGACTCAAATCTACAGACGAAAACACGAAGAGGGATTTGCGCGACATCCCATGTGGAATTCTGAAAAAGTCGGTGGAGGCCGTCCAAAATGATGAGACTGTCCAGGAAGCATCAACAGACTACGTTGTATCAAACTCGACACTCGGTCGTTGTGAGCAGAAGGTGAACGTATGGGCTGAGTCAAGGCTTTGGCAGACATACCAACAACAAAAAATTGTTTTCTCTGAAGCAAAAAAGTGTACATTTGCCCACTGTCTACAAACACGTCCAGACACGTTCTGTGGGCTCACAACACACCGGGCTCGTACGTTAGCCCGTGAGATGGCAATACAGAACAATGTGGGAGTTCTAGAGCTTTGGAATGACAACCCAGAGACTAGTAATAAATAGATATTGCACTTTTTGCAAGGCGCCCAGATTTGTCTCCGGGTATGCTAGAGGCGACTTCTTTAAAGTTAAGCGTCAGTCTTCAACCGAGAGAAAGTAGTTAGGTCTTTCCAAACCCTAGTAGTAGTAGCCTCCAAGATGTCAGCATTCACGGTATACAACCCAGAAGACCTGGACCCTAAACTGTGCAGCCCCCCCCCCCCCACATGATGGCATTCAAAGGGCAGGAACAGGTTGGGAAGATCACTTAACTGGAGCGTGGTGAACTTGTCATCATTTTAAAAACAATGTTGCAAACTTATCTTCTTTGCCACGACCTGTCTTCATGTTCGTTAGAAGAAATTTTGAAGGACATATAACATGTTCTTTACTCAGGTCATGATATTGAGGATGGTAACTCAGAACCGTTAACTGAGTTAGTAGGCATTGTTAGTGCAATTTTCCTGCATAAAAAATTATGAAATATACAAAATTGATGAGCGTTCCAATTCGATAATAACCCGATATTTAATCCATGGTATTCAGACTGTAGCTTGGGTCCTCTGTCTAGTTTTTCCAGCCCACCACACAGATGTTGAATGGAAATGAAAATGGTCTCTTTTTTTCTTCTCAACAAAAAAAGCAACAATTAACTAACAAGACCTAGTGGATCTATGTTTAAAACCCGACAAAAATGAAAGATCATTTTGTTCATTGCAAAAATGTTTAATGTACACCAAAGTGAGAAATAACACAAAACAATCTGTTATCCTGTGACAGCATTTGGCTCAATTATTTATCTGGGGAAAAATGTGAAGTGTTTTGATGTCGCTTATGACACATGGAATCCATTTTATAATTCAAACGTTTCGTGTAACACAAATGAAGTCGAATGTTTTATTAAACGTTAGTACAGCCGGCGTTGTCAAAAAATGTTTTCGACAGAAATGTTTAAAGCAAAATATTTTCATTTTCGTTTCTGTTGTACAAAGTCGTTCTTTTCCCAAAGTTTTCTACTGCAGCAGGTAGAATCTATTCCGACAGGTCGATGCCAAACATCTGACAGAATGTATTCTTGTACGAGGGATTCAGCTTGAGATAGACAAATATAGTGCTCGAGCTGTTTACTAACTGACACACTAACGCTGCTACTATCATTACCACAAACAAGTTTTGATAACGATGGCCATAATTTATATCCGTTTCGATTCGTAAGGCAACGATTATCAGAAGTCGCGACATATTGCACAAAATACAGATGGTCGCCAGTAGGGACACCATTTTCACGACGCGTCGGTTTTTGGCCGTTAGGTTATTAGGACGTCTCCCAGGGTCCATCTTGTTGGTTTCTTTGTTGTCAAGAGGGGAGCCATGTTGCGAGGAAGTTTTCTGTCCATGTCTCTCATTACAGCTCGGTGCGTCTTCACCTTTTTCTCCTTCTGCCCACATTTCCTTTGTGGCTTTGCAACGTTTTGGATCTGTCGACGGTTTGGTGGCTCCCTGACGTTGAAATCGAGATGACTTTTGAAGGCTAAATACCATGACCTGCGTGCTGACCGTTACTATGACCAGTGAACTGATGCCCAGAATCAGGTGGTTCCAGAGGTTGAGAAAAGCGCTGATGGCTGGCATGTCTTCGGAGAGCCACAGAAGTAGACGCGTCGTGTTTGCCCTAGCGTCCCACTGGGGGCGGACACCGGAAGTGACGAAGTGAGGGAGGTAACAGCCGAACGTGAAGGTGCAGATGATCACAACTGTCACCACTGCTCGTTTGAACGTGAACATGTCTTTGAACCGAAAAGGCATAGCGACGCAGAGACAACGTTCTAGCGAGATGAAGGCGGTGATGTAGGAGGACATGTCGTACGTTACAGAGGTGAGGTACGCCATCAGGTACGTCACTGCTCGGGGGTCCAGATAGAAGTAAGCCCGGCTGGCGAGAAGGATTTCACACACGCCGGTGACGACGGAGAAAGACGAAGACACGAAGTCAGTAATGGCGAGCGACAGGAGGCAAACGGATACACAATCCTTGGAGCCAAGTGTTACGAAAACAGCGATGTTTATGCTGTTGAATAGGGAGCCTACGAGACACATCCCAAATGTTATGAATATGGAAGCATTCCGAAAAATTGCGAGGGTTTCATCGTCAATGAGTCCTTGAAAGAGATGAATGGGAGGTTCTGTTGTCTCCCTTTCCGTAGTGTTGATGGAGGTCACCATCTCGTTGTGGAGCATCCTGGATATTCTGATGGAATTATCTTTTGTTCCTGATTATATATATATATATAAAAAAAGCAACAACAACAGAATAGTTGTCGTGATTGTAATTGAAAGCAAAGAATTGTTTTGAAATCTGAAGTTATTTGGAAAACCAGATGTCAGGGCGGTCAGAGGAAGGGTTGGCTAAATAAATGTCCCAAGTGTCGGGGTGAGCGGCCTGTGCTGGATGTCTGTGGGTGAGTCACAATTGACGTCACATACAACAAAACTCTTCCTTCCGGTCACCGACTGTGGAGTGTGAGAGTCAGGAGTTATCCCTCTCTGGTGTCTGTAACAATAAATTCTAGAAAGTTATTTATCCTTTTCTGGTATTTGTAATATAATATTCTAGAAAGTTATCGATAAATTTATCGTTTTTTGTTATCAGTAATATACTCTAGAAAGTTATAGATGAATTTATCGTTCTTTGTTCTTTGTAATACATTCTGAAGAGTTATTAATTAATATGTTATTCTTCGTTATCATTAATTCTGAAAAGTTATGAATTAATGAATCGTTTTATCGTTATCAATAATATATTCTGAAAAGTTATGCATGAATTGATCGTTCTGTTTAAGAAATCAAATATACATTCTAGAAATTATGAATGCATATATCGTTCTTCGGTATCAGTAAGTCAATAATGCAGAAAGTTATGAATGGATTTGCCCTAGATCTACATCTGTGCAAGATGTCTCACGGATCTAAATGAATACAGTTGTCTTTTTCTCTTTCGATGCATTTATGAAATTATGGTTTTAGATTGACGGGTAAGTCGCGGCTGAGAAGACAATGTTTTTAAACTTTTACACGTGCGTTCATTCACTTCAAACAGAGAAACTTGTCAGAAAAACGTCCCAGCAGACACCTACAAGTGACAGATTTCTCAGACAAATTTTCACAAATTTATGAGTTGAAAAGTTCTTCCTTTCTAGGGCCAGTATATTGGTAGTAGATAATAGACTTTCTATTGCTTTAAGTAGGTGAAACAAGAACAGATTTCTGCGTGTTCAATTAAAAAACCCCAACCAGCATTGCATTACTTGATCATTATCTGATCCCAGAAGTGTCCCCGTCCTTTAGAAGTTCTAGTCATTATACTGTTTGCTTTGCATTACTTGATCATTATCTGATCCCAGAAGTGTCCCCGTCCTTTAGAAGTTCTAGTCATTAAACTGTTTGCCTTGTATTACCTGACACGGTATACTATTGACTATGCAATCACAGACTAGACTGAAGATTCCGTTTAACGTACACGAAATTATACGTCTTGCCGAGACTCACAATTAACGATATTGAAACAATCATGACTGATTCATTACCCCAAAACATCTCAGATCTGTGCCTCCAAAATCTACCACCACTAAACAG